TGGACATATGGGTTTGGGTTATTGTGAGGAAAACATGGGCAGGAATGAGTGGCTAGTGGTGGGGTAGGGTTTTGGCTCTTTGTGGGTGTTTATGTTGGGTTGTGAGTTTTCATTGGCCAGGAAATAAAAGGAAGGAAGGGAAGGTTCTACTTGTTTATTAAAAGGCTTAAAAGAAGAAAATAACAACAAAAGGTTTTTGGTTTGCACACTCTTATTTTTGGCCAGGGGCTAAAATAAAAGTAATAAAAACTTTATTTTGAAATGAAGTAAATGGCAAGAAGTTTTGGATATTATGGGTTGGGTTGGACAGAGTGGGAGTCGGCCTGTGGACCCTTGGGTCCGAAGTTATTCTGGCCTCTTGGGTTGAAGGACTCGGAATTCTCACTAAAACGGATCATAATGTTTGAACGTAAGTCCTTTGGTTTTTGCGAGGGTGTGGGACATGGGGGAGGGTATCATAGGGCCAGGCCCGGATATAACAAAATAGCACCAATGAACAGTAGTTTTGTTGTGTGTTGCTTCATAATATTCTAATATTTTATCTTTCCCCAGTGTGGAATAGAATTTGCAACAGAACATGTCCTTCCACTTCTTGTGCCTCTACTTCTCTCACAGCACCTAAATGTCCAACAATTTGCAAAATATATGGCTTTTGTCAAGGATATTCTCAGGTGAGTCCCTCTATATGTATAATAACAATATTACTTCAAAATAATTTTGACTACAAAAAAAGAAATTAAGAAGCATTTTGATTAAAAAAGATGAAAGAATTAAGAGCTAAATAAGAGCCCACCAACCAAACAAGAGCTAAATACGTGTTTTGGTCATAAAAAAATTAAGGATGTTTTAATGAATAACCCTTTATGCGCATAATCTTTGGGATACAGGAAAGTAGAAGAGAAAAAAGGTGTGACGCTAAGCAACACCGGAGTCTCTGAGGTAATAAAACCATCCCCTGGCAGTGTTATTGGGCCTCAGCAGCAGTTGGGGCAAGCAAATAAACCCGGTGTAACCGCTCCATCTACTACAAGATCCAGCCCTTCTTGGGATGAAGACTGGACTTCCTCCAGAGGACCACCTTCAGTTTCCCAGCAGTCAACCTCATCGGCCAGCCACCCGAGCGTACCTAACCACCATTCAACCAATAAAAATGACTCTGCTGCTTCTACCACCCAACCACTTCCCTCTTGTCCTGCCGTTGATCTAGAGTGGCCCCCACGGTCCTCGCCTCTAGAAGATTCAAAGGGAAGAAAAGGCGCATCAAACGGTAGCAGCTTTGATGATATTGATCCTTTTGCCAACTGGCCCCCACCTCGTGCCCCTAGTGGCTCAACCGTCTCTTCAGTGCCCTTAAACAATGGGACACCAACCTCATCCTTCAACACCAATGGTCCCAATGATGATGCTATGGGCAACAAATGGTCTTTTGGCACCCCAATGTCTTATGAGCCGCTGAAGCAGAACCAAGGGAATTCCTCGTTGAATTTTGGTAGTGGTTCTCTTGGGTACATGAAGAAAACTCACGAATCGTCTACTTCTGAGAAACCATCCATGGATATAGGGTCCATTTTCTCTTCCCCAAACAAGAGTGAGCAGGCCATTGCCTCACTCAGGATTGCCCCACCCCCATCTACTGCCATTGGTAGAGGAAGGGGAAGAGGGCGAGGAAGTCAAGGACAACCCGGGACTGCCAGCTCATCATCGCGGAAGTCTCAACCGGAGCAACCAAACCTGCTTGATTTGCTTTAGTGAAAACCAACCAACCATCCATCCATCCATCATGTTATCAAAACTGAAAAGAAAATGAGGTACATATTATCCCACGCCATGCTTATCCTTTTGCCTTTTTTTAAATATATTTTTTATACTGAAATCGAGAAACGAAAAAAAAGAAAAAGAAAGAAGTGTTCATAGCAGCCGTGAGCTCATGGAGATTTTGCCTTTAAGAATGTAGCTTGTTGTGGAATATATGGTTCTCCTCCTCTTGATACTTTGTGGAGCAGCATAGCATGGGGACAAACAGTTTTCTTTCTTTCTTTCTTTCTTTCTTTTTTTTTTTTGACATTTTGTGCCAATCTTATTAGTATTATAGTTTTCCATTGGTGATTTATGTAACAGTAATTGTATTTTTGGACTTGTAAAACATTGGTAGTGAGCGCAGGTGCGCAACCATCCTGAAAAACTTTTTAGGTAGTGTTTGGGAACTAAAATTTCATTTCAATTTTTATATTTCAATTCCAAAATTTGAATTCTTGAGTTTCAAATGACAAGAAAAGGGATGGATTTTCACTTGAACTTTGTAATGAATTAGAAGGATTTGCTTCAAATCAAAATCTAAATTTGACGATTTTCCAAACATAGAACTTGAGACAAAATCTAGATTTGAAATTTAAATTCTAAGTTGAACCCGAACTCCCGAAGCAAATAAATTTGATTCTTTTATATTTTAAAATCGCATTGAAAAATAAATTCAATGGGATGAAGTTTATATTATAGCTTTACTTGGCGAAGATTGAATAACAAATACTGTAAACATAGCAAGGTATGAAGGAACAGAGGGAGTATTCCTATTCGTGTAATTGTCAAAATTTTCGAAAATAAATAATAATCCATATTTTTCATCATTTGATTCGTTCTATTTTTAAAGCCTAAGACCTAAGTGGGCAGTGCACCTTTCGTTTTGTAAAAAAAGGACACTTCGATTATCGAACAATTTCTGAAATTATATTAAGGTACAACCGTACAAATCCATTAAAACAATAAATATATTTAGAGCTTATTCTTTAGGACTGGAAAAAAAGTACTGAATGTTGGAAGGAATTGAGAGAAACTGGAAGAAACATGAAGAATCTGAAATAAACTGAAAGAAACTAGAAGAATCTGGAAGTTAAGAATTAAACTCTAAAGAACAGATTCTTTGTATCTATATTTGCTAAACAAGTTGATAAATACCCAGTAAGATTTTTGTAGGTTAAAGTGAGTAAAGACATGACTTTTCCATATAAAAAATCCCTCTAAAAATAAAGTGGGCAGGCTACATCTTTTTCACATTTTTACAGTGTTCCAAAAAAACATGTCCACATGCAACATATACAATTTGGGGCAAAAATGTGGTAATTCCCTTTTTTAAGGTGGCAATTCTTTATTTGAATAGATAGATCTATAAACATTTTAGTACAGCAATAGCTATTTTTTGACAAGACATTCATACAAGGAAAACAAAAGAAGAACTAAAATGAAGAAATAACAATCCCCTCATTTTCATCATGCATTTTGGATTCGATTATCTTCGACTTGGTGAACATAGTTTCCATCCAAAATCCAATATTTTCAAATCAGGTCAAAAATAGATTGAATCAACCTTCATCAAATCTACTAAAAATTACTTCGTACATAGTACTCTGAGTATAAAACAACAATACTCATTTTGTCACATTATTTTTCCTTTTTTGGGATATCTAGAGTGGCATAAGAATTAAAAAACATCATTGTGAGATCGGCAAGAATATTTTGACCCGAGTCAAAAATGACCCAAGAATGACCTGAGCATTTTGAGATACCTACGATGCTCTGTTCGTAAAATTTATAATACCCAACCCCCCACCCTCTCACGCCCCAACCCTGAGCCTCCCAGATCGCTAATTTGGGTATAACCCAAACCAACAATCTAAGGGGATTTGGAGGGTTAAGGTCAAAAGTTTCAAGGTCAAAAGAACCATTGGATTGTGAAATAGATATTGATGTTTAAGAGTAGGCAAAAGAAATAGTCACACAATATGAGCAAATGTGGTATGATAAAAAATTGTGCTATGAACAAATAAGATAAAAAGAAACAATGTATTTAGTAATGTACGGAGTATTTTAAAAAACAATGGTCAAAATATGTTAAAACTTCTTATAAATGTCATATAGAAATGTATCCAAGGCAGCTCCAGAATCAATAGCATATACTCTCTTCGTCTAGAATTAGTTGCGAGTTTACAATGTATTTCAAATGAGTGAGCCACTCGAACAATGCTCATTGCCAATATGAAAAGTAAACAAGCAATTTTGAATTAAGAAAACAAATATGGAGAAGTGAATCCAGAGTTTTTTTATATACCTAGACAATTGTTTTTGTAAGTTATTTACTAATATAATTCCCCAAGTCATCTACATCCTTCCCATTACAAAACAAAATTAAAGAAAATTTTTGGTTTTTATTAGGGGGAGCTAAAATGATTGCCCTCTCCTAAAAAATTGTACCAAAATAAGTAACACAAAAACACTTCACATCCCTTGAACCATATGCACCCCTGAAACCTTATTGGCTTGAACAAAACATGCAGACTTGTTCTTAGAACAGCACCAGCATTCCTTTGTTTACTCATACTTTCCTTTCAGAACCAACCAATTTTTGCTCAAAAGAAGATCAAATAACGCAATCGAGCAGCTTGGAAAGCCATGGAACTCAACTCCAGATTGAACTCCATTGTTTTGTTACGCTTTTGGAGTCTCGAATCCAATTCCATATGGAATTAAATCCCTTAAAATGGAAGGAATCCAATTCGGACACCAAAGGGTCCGAGTTGCGATTCAAACTCCTTCCAAACAGAAACATTCCTCTAGAAAATCAACTCCATTTTATATGGGATTCAATATGACTCCACAATAGCAATGGTTCGCAATCAAGCCGAAAATTTGGATCAAAACACACACACACACACACACAATCAAAGATGAATGAAGAAGGAGAATTTGATGAATTCACTATATACGAAACCCGAAGTTCAATTCCACGGCTAATAATTGATGAATTTCGAGTACGTTCAGCTCGTGAAAATAAAGAAAACTCAGCAAAAAAAATGTCTAGAGAAGCACCCAAATCTCACCCACATGAACAATCAAATCATAAGAAAGGCCACAGATATATGAAATAAGCAATGGCTTCATTCAAGAAATCAACACATTCTTCTCAGGGATGATAAAGCATATATGAAGGGGTGGAAATGGAGTCCAGAGAGATGCATGAAATGAACAGAAAGATAAATATATAAATATATAGTTAGATGAGTTTGAAAGGAAGAGGCCATGGAGTGGACCTGGGGACCTCCACTTTGTCCTTGATGCGTTCGATCTTCTTCTCCTTCTTCGGCCTCGAGTTTCCGAAAGATCCCTTGAACCGCTTCCCTTTCTTCGTCTTCTTATCTCCTCGACCGCACAGGACCGGCGGCGCTTCCACCGCCGCACGCGAGCAGCTAGCTGAGATCGACAGTGCGGGAAAGGAAATCCGTCGTTCTACGGTGGCCGCGACCGTCCGCCTCGCCGCCGTGCTGCACCAGTGCGCCGCCGCCATCGTTTACCTCCTCCCCGGCCCGCTGTTTTTCCCCCAAATCTCAACCCCTATAATTCCGCCCGCGGCGGAGATTATGTGCTATATGCAGCGAATTGATTTGCTTTTTGAGGCTTTATCTTCTTCGTCCTCCCAGATCTGATTGGGAGAGCAGATTATTTTGAGATCACAGAGATTAGGGTATTGTGGTTTCTGTTCTTCTCTTGAAAACCTCTTCTTTTGCGACTCTTTCGGTTCTCAATTTTCTTTGAAATAACTATTGAGGCCATCAAATTTTATTTAGTTTCTTTACCTATTTTCGTTAATTATTTAATAAAATAATATACTATTGTCACCTTATAATTTCTAAATGTATAAATTTTATTTTTGATTTTTTACGCATACAATCAAATAAATTGAATTGAAAATAAATTTGATCAAAACTCATAAACAGTTACGGAAAGAACATTTTACGACACCGAGAGTAATAAAATATCCTTTTTTTAAACGAATTAATAAAATACTTATTCAAGATATTTATTTATTTTCGTATATACTCCTTTCGTTCTGAATTAATAGTCTTACTTTCATTTTTAGTCTATTTCAAAATAAAGTTTTGATCCAATCAGATTTGACCTAATCTAATCTGAATGTAGTTATATTTAACGGCCCGGTTCCAGTGCCACTGGAATCCGGTGTCACTCCGGTGTCACTGGCATTTTGGGGCACCTCCGGTGCTCCGTTCGCAAAATTGACGATTCCTACCCCCCCAAACCCACCCCCTAAACCCCCCACCCTACCCCCGCCCCTGCACCCCCACCCCAACCCCGCCGTAAGCCCCCACAAAATGTGTGGCTATTATGCAACGCATAATAGCCACACATTTTGTGGGGGCTTACGGCGGGGTTGGGGTGGGGGTGCAGGGGCGGGGGTAGGGTGAGGGGTCAGGGGGTGGGTTAGGGGGGGTAGGAAGCGTCAATTTTGCGAACGGAGCACCGGAGGTGCCCCAAAATGCCAGTGGCACCGGATTCTAGTGGCACTAGAACCCCACCCTTTATTTAATGATGTTTCTAATCTAATTTAATTTTAATAAGAAAACATAATAAATAATAAGAATAAGTTGAAGATAATATAGTTTTAGGCAGCGTTTTGTTCAACTAATTTTTTATACTTATTCTTATTTTTATTAAAATTGGATCAAATTAGACAAGATCAAATCAGATTAGACCATATCTAAACAATATTATTATTATTATTATTGTTGTTGTTGTTGTTATTATTATTACCAATATTATTAGTATTATTATTGCTATTAATATTACTATCATGAGTGTAATTATTATTACTATTGTTATTTTTATTATTACTATTAATATTAATAATATTTTTATTTTTACTATTATTATTATTATTACATTAATTATTAATATTTTTATTATTACTATTACTATTGTTATTACTATTATTATTATTATTATTATTATTATTATTATTATTATTATTATTATTATTATTATTATTATTATTATGACAATTATTATTGCATTGGGTTCAGCAGGCCCATGGGCTTGACACAAAACACGGTCTTAACTTTGAGGGTTCCTAATTTAAGCAAGTCGGCTCGTTCCGTACTCCAAAAATTCAAAACCCAAACCTACTTTGTGGGGTTGGGCCAAGACTCAGGCCCATGATGGGGTCTAAGCATGACGGGGACATTTAGTACGGAGTAGCTTGGGAGTGGCTAACCGCCCTAACAAATTTATTGGTTCTACGCTTACGTTGGGCTGTTTTATACGCATGCGCAAGTTATAATAATAATAATAATAATAATAATAATAATAATAATAATAATAATAATAATAATAATAATAATAATAATAATAGTCATAATAATAATAACAACAATAATAGTAACAACAACGACAACAATAACCTTTAATTTTTGATGATGATGACTCAACGGGCAACGGTCTTCAACCTTAGTATTAAACTTTTCTTGTTATTTATAGGCATATTATTTTTAATTAGTTGTTAAAACCATACAATTGAGTCATCTCTTATTTTGTATTTTGATCGAGTAGAGATCTTTAACATAATTTTCAAACTCGTGTATTTGTTTTATTTTTAAATTTTACCCTAATATTTTGTATTATAATAAGCTAAATTAAAAATAATATCCCAAAAAATTGGGACATAGAGAGTATAAACTCCGGATCAAACTTTGATTAATCATAACGATAATGGGTAGTTTGAATTATTTTTTAAGAAGATCTCCCAAACTTAATATTTAAGTGAAATTTGCACTGAATATGACTAAAACATAAGTTATTTCTCAATGTAAGACTTGAACTTTTTTATTCCTTAAATATGACTTAATAATGACTAGTGAAAAGTAAAATGTTCAAGTGATGCTGGACATTTAGTTGAATAATGACTAATAGATCATGACCAATGATTTTATGAATTGAACCAACAGATAATTAACCAAGCCTTAAATATAATTACCCGTTAAACATGAGCCAAATCAAACCGAATCCGACATGACCAACTCGTTAGGGTAAGGAATTTTAGCTGCACTTTTATATACATAATCCAATATTTATCGCGGAGTATTTTTTATGCAAAATACAAGTGCTAGCATACTTTTACATATTTCTAAAAATGTTCATAATTCGTCAAGCCAACACGAATCTAATGACACTAGAATCGTCAAGCATGTTGAATAACTTTATTCTGTAAGTGTCTGTGACACTTTCGGTGTGTGAATTGGGATATAAATATGGAGAATTTACCTAAATAATACTAAAATATAGTGACTTTTCCAATATAATATCATATGTTTTTAGTTTCGAGTGTAGCATCACTGTTCAATGTCCACTGATCATTGTTCAAATAAATGTCCATCGCCACTGGATATTGTTCACACTAAATATCCACCATCACTAGACATTATTCAAGTACTATTTGTGGATGTTAGAGTGTCATCTCACATCAGAAGTTCAAGAGCAAAATAATCGGTATATAAACTTTTGAGTTGAACTAACTAATCGATTGGATTCAATCTTTTAATGTGGTTCAACCCAAGTGTCTTATTACCCAATCCAATAATCTACACCCTATCTTAAATTAATTAGTGGAATTAAAAGATTTAACTGCTACATTGGGAAAGAACATATGTTTTAACACTATTTAGTGTAAATTTTACTCCGTATTATAAATTTGGTGTAGTCCTAATTTTTTTTAAGAGGTTGATGAAAGAAAGAGTGATGATTTTTGAGAGAGAGATGACAAGAAGATTAATTACGCAAGCGAAGTGTATGTAGATGACAAGTACGTAGGAGATAAACATGGGTTTATAATAACCTAAAGCCCTAACTAACTTATTGTGTCGTCGCCGTGTCCAACCGCCCTAACTAACTTATTGCCCGCCTTGTCTATTCCGGAAGAATGTTTTTAACTAATTTAACATTTCTCAAGTTTTGGAGCCAATTTTAATTATATTAAGGTAGACTAATTAATACTTGCTTCTTCTTAAATGTTACTTCCTCCATTCTTAAAATTAACTTTTTATTTCACTTTTCATGTTATCCATTGTAATATTTTGATCATTAACATCTCAATTCTATATACAGTTATTTCGACATGTATGGTTTAAATTTAGCGTTGTACTCATTTATCTGACTATCTTACACATCATGCCTTACCTTTTAATAAAGTAAGGAAAAAAATTAAAAAGTACTCCCTCCGTCCCATGAAACCTTTCTCCTTTCTTTTTTTATCCGTCCCACAAAACACTTCTCATTTCTATTAAAAAGTCACTTTTACCCCTTACTTTTTCATACCCTAACTATCACATCATACCTTTTTACTAATAATCTATCCATCAAATCATACTTTTACCCATCACATCAAAGGACATTTTTGGAAATTCAATACCAAAATACACTCCCCTTAAATCCCTCCTAAAAAGCAAAAGTCCCATGTTTCATGGGACGGAGGGAGTAATTTATAAACTATCCATTTTTAAGCTGTGATTTTTTTTGTCTGTCAAAAAATTATTGAGACAGAGAAAGTATAACATACTCCCTCCGTTCACAAAAAGAGTTCCTACTTTGAAAATCTAAAAAATCTTGATATATAAGAATACGAATTACTCTTAATATTGTTGATTGATTTTAGGCTAGAATATCGTCATTCTAAGTACATGGTGATGATATCAAATCTAAGACTTAGAATGAAGTTCAAAAAAAAGCTGATACGATGATTCAATATAAGGTTTTATTCAATGTGAAGTGTACAACGAGTATTATAAAAGACATAAAGAAAAAGTTACATAGTCCGTACTATTTAGCTCAGAACTTATAGTATTTATAACTAGTACGCTTATTAGTTATATATTGTACGTGACCCTGGGTGCTCGGGTCACGTCAAAAGCGCTCGTCGGCAAAGGAGGTAAAAATGATTACGATCATCATGCTTCCGCTCTTCCTTGGTGACGATGAGAGCTGTGAGGGAGGCGGAGAATAGGGCGTGGGTGGGTGATGCAGTCGTAGGCGTGACCGAAAGGATGGGGACGGGGGCGACTGAAGAGGTGTTGAGACAAGCTGGCCATAACATAAGACTGGCCAGCGATGATACGAGCAGTGGATGGGTAATCAGCCAGGACGATGGAGTAGCCATCGTCCCATCCCTCCATGCCCTCAGCCATGAGCTGCCAGATCATGGCCCCAGCCATGGTCCCACCCGTGTGGGCCAAGTTGTATGCGTCGCGGTACACGTTGGTTATGAAGGTGTCGCGGGCGGTCAGGGTGTAGCCCGGGTCGTGACTCGACTTGCCGAACTCGGCTAGGACCAATGGCTTCTTTAGTATGTTCTCTGCGTCTTGCCAATGGCTTGAGATCCACCGGACCATGAATGCCATCTGTTCCTCATCACTCTTCCCTGATTCCCTGCATGGCATGCAATTAATTATTAAATAGTTAAACATAATTAATGTTTTTTTATATATTACTCCGTATTATTTAATTTTATTATAATTTAGGAGTATTTGTTCGTATAATTTTTTTTTGTATCTAGCTACTAAAAAAAGATCCTTGACGAAAATAAAGACCATAACTTGTGTGAGGGGAGGTATTTTTCCTAAGAAATATTTGCACTAAATAGCACTAAAACTTAAGTCATTTCTCTAAATAGCATTTAAATTGTTTTATTTCCCAAATAGCACTTAATAATGTCCATAATGTTGGTGAATATTTACTTGAGTAATGACTAATGCATAATGACTAAAAGTGCTACATTGGGAAGAAAAACACATGTGGTGCTATTTAGGGAAAGTCATTATGTTTTAGTGCTATTTGAGTAAATTCCTCTTTTTTTCTAAAGCTATATATTTTGAAAAACATTAATTTTACTTTTCAAACAAGCCATATATAATGGAAAAGTAAAATTGTAAAAAGAATCTTTGAAATAGGCTCCCATCTATAAATAATAATGGAATGGTAGACAACTTAGACTCGTCTTTATTGGCCTCATCTATCCCAAACTTGAGACTACCCTCTATTCCAACTCTAGACATATAATAAAATAATCCTCTTCCTAATTTGATTACAAATTCAAAGTTACAAAATAAAATCTCTCATTTTTTGAAATTATTTTATTTACAAATTGTTACATCAAAAAAAATTACTTATTAAAAAATTACGTCAGAAGTTTTACAAAACGAAAGGTGACAAAAATATTTTATTTCATCAAGCATTCAACTAAAACACGCAAATAAACAAAATTCATCGAGAGATGAGAAAGAAAAAAATGTAATCTATTTCGGCACGGAGGGAGTAGGCTCCTTTTGTCTTCAAAAATTTTTTCCCATTTGATAAAGTTAGTATTTAAAATAAGGATAATACGTATTTTAATTTTATTTTCCTTTTTTATTGGTGTCAATTTTTTAAAATCATCTTTTAGTTAATAATTAACAATTTCATATTTTAGCACACACGTCGTCACATCATATTTATTAATTATTAATATATTTACAAGAATATATTTTACTCTATCATAAAACAAAAATAAAATCAGAAACTAACAACCAATTTTATCAAATACTCCGTATGAAACTATTTTGTAGGATGGGAGAATTTTGTTTTACGCGGTCAAAAAACATGTGATGGTTTTTTTTAGGACAAAGGGATCGGAGTAAATAATTAGCATGTTTGGGAATAACGTTAGAAATTAGTGTTAGCATTTTTGAAAAAGCTATCTACGGACAGCGTTTAGCGTTAGAACTTTCAATGTAATTTGCACCGTTAAAATATTATCTAAAACGCTAACATTATTCTGTAACGTTATTCCTAAACAGACCCTCTACAAACAGGTATAGGTTGTCACAACACATTAATAAGAGTTTAACGTTAATTAAATTGCGTGATGATAATTGATAATGATATATTTTTCGATAAACATCATATTGATCACGCATATATAGACCACGTACCATACGCCGCGATACTTTTCTAAACACAAATCACCTTTGACCAAAGAAAACTCCCATAACAGAAAATTAAACACCCCTCTATCCAAATAAAAATCTATATATATATACACTATATCATACTCCACATTTGCTATATGGGTCAAAATTATCAGCTCAATCAAAAACTCAGACTTGCAGTTTTTGACGGAGAAAAAACATTTAAAATCTATACGTTTCCAGTAGTACATATAGTTAATAAAGAATTTACCATTGGTCGGTGTAGGCATGGATGGTGGCAAAATCAATGTCTTGGACCATGTGGTTGGTGATGTAATCTGTGCCAACACTATACCCGGGATTATATTCCTGCCTTTCTGGCTTGCTGTCTCCGTAGAAACCTTCCATTCCTATCTCTAGCAAGTGCTTCTTGTCCAGCGATTTCACGTACCCCGCCATCTCTTCCACCCACTCCTGCACCACCCCGACCAAAAGTTTTTATTTGATACGGAGTATTTGGTTAACTTTTAATGTATCATAAAAGTCATAGCAGTCGGTTGTAACATATATGATAGAGGCTCACGTTTACGGTCTTCCCAGAGTAATCCGCGGCGCAGCGAGGCTCGTTCATGAGTTCCCATGCCATGATGGTCGGGTCGTCCATATACGCGATCCCAGTGATGGTGTTGACTCTTGTTATAACTCTCTGCAAATTAATTACCAAAAGTGAAAATTAATTAGTCAATTAATTAATTAAACACAAATTATTATTGTTAGGGAGTATTTTTTTTAACTAATTATTACCTTGACATGGTTCTTGTAATACTCTTTGGGCACGGGATTAGTGTAGAAATCGTCCTCACTGTGGATCTCCGTTCCGTTATTCTTTGCCCACTCCGTGTATTGTGCTTTTCCTCCAAAATCGTTATAATTGTTCACCAAACTTAGTATCAAACGGACCCCGTATTTTCTCGCCTCCGTTATCACAAAATCAAGCCCCTATTTGCAAATTCATGCCCATATTTGATCACTAATTAATATGTCCATGCATGCCATGCCATAATATATTTACACATATAACTCGAATATACTCCCTCCCTCCCTTTAAACATTGGATGTTTTGATTTTGAAGAGATTTAAGGGGAGTGTAGTTTGGTATTGAATTTCCAAAAATGTCCTTTGATGTGATGGGTAAAAGTAGGATTTGATAGGTAGATTATTAGTAAAAAAGTATGATGTGATAGGTAGGGTATGAAAAAGTAACGGGTAAAAGTGGCTTTTTAATAGAAATAAGAAGTGCTTTTTGGGACGGATGAAAAAAGAAAGAAGGAAAGGTTTTCAGGGACAGAGGGAGTATTTGATCTTCCTTCTTTGACTTTCTTGGTCAAAGGGTGTACAGACGGTACAGTTATCGGAAAAAATTCAAATTTTTTTTTATAGAGACAGAGAGAGTACGAAATAAAAAACCTGAAAAACGCGTTCGTCGTAGACGCCGGGGGACGTTTGGAGGGCGTTGTAGCGGTTTCCGTCGCTGAAGGCCCAGGTGCGACAGACGGAGAGGCCAGCCGCCGAGGCCTCACGCAGAACCTCGGTGACCTTGTTCCTCTCTCCCACGTCGGACGCAACGTGCATCATCCAATAGGAGTTGAAGCCGTTGAAGAGGTAAGGAGAGCCGTTGAGCTCGAAGTGGCCGCCGCTCACCGTTATCCAGCCGCCGTCATCTCGGAGGTTCCGAGCCGCTTCGGCCCCTAATAAAGCTAAGAACGCGAACAGTAGCACAAGAACATAATGACTTGTTTTCCTTAAATATTCCATGTTGTTTTTTTAACGTGGAAAGCAAACCTTTGTTTTTGTAAATCTTTGTTTTTTGTGATGAAGAATTGGCAAAGGAGTGCATGGGGTATATATAATGGGAAAACAAATGCTCTATGGCTATCATGATTTTATCCTTAGCATTGCGTAATGCAAAACGTAACAAACCATACAGATAAATTGTTTTAAATTAAAATTAAAATATAAAAATAATTATAAAACTCAAAATTTTACTTCCTCTGTTCTTTTTTTAAAAAAACATTTGCTAAATTAAAATAATTTTGAGTATTTAGAATTACACCATAAATACAATATTTATGTATTGAAAAAAAAAAGTTTGACTAATATATTTCGGAGTATTAACTTTTTATATGTAGTGTTTGCTAAAAATTTTTAAGATTTATTATTGTTGGTACAAATAAAAATTTGACACGGAAAATGAAACAAGTATTTAAAAAAAGAATAGAAAATAATGTAAATAATGTTAAAACATGGAAAACTTATACGAAAATAGAATCTGTGTAGTAGTATATTTTATTGAAAAAATAAGAGTTGACATTATGAAGCGTTTGCAATTTGATACTCTATATTGATATTTACTCGTAATTCATAATCTTTTTAAACGTTATATTTTAATATTATTTGATATTCCATGTTCTATTTTAATAAAAATATAAGAAATCATATACTTTCTCCGTCCCATAAAACTTTTTAAAAAAATGAAAAAGAGCACGCCCTAAAAATATGTAATTTTGATATTTTTATTTTTTTAATTTTGATCTTAATTTACAATAAATTAGGATGTGATTTGTATAATAGAGTCATAATTAGAAAATAATATCAAAATTACATATTTTTAGAACGTGTCCTTTTTTGTCTTTGAAAAGGTTTTTTATATTCTAGCACACCTCCTCACGTACAGCATAGTCTATTTTTAGACTTGCAAGTGAAACTTTAAATTTTTAGAATTGGGTAGCGCTGAGTTTAGAATTCGTAACTTCTTACTCAACAAGACTCTGATATGTCAAGAAACCAATTCAACCCAAAGCTCAAGTTTGTGATTGTGGCCTATGAAATTTTTTTTATTGTAACAAGTAATACCTCCGTCCCAAAAAGATTTACACATTTTGACTAAAGTTGAAATTAAGGGAGGAATAATTTTGTGTTGACTTTCCAAAAATATCCTTGATGTGATGGGTAAAAGTAGGATGTGATGTGTAGATTATTAGGAAAAAGGTATGATGTGATATGTAGGGTTTGAAAAAGTAGGATGTAAAAGTGATTTTTTAATAGAAATGGGTAGGAGATTGTGGGACGCAATTTTTTTGAAAGGTGTAAATCTTTTTGGGACGGAGGGAGTATATTTTAGTGTGATTTAAATATCTCTAAAGAATGCGCATCCCTATCATTCGGTTCAAAAAATATGAATAAATATTATATTGTAATCGAGTCAATAGCGTTCAAATATTTTTAGTTTTATAAACAATGAACATATACTACTGCGCAATCGAGTCAATAACAGTTAAAAAATATCTCAACAAGAATGATGAAGAGATGAGGATTGAGGGACTCCATTACGATAAGTCGATATACGATACCTTCTCCCAACTCCACTCCTCCAAATTTTTTCGTACATCCCTTAACTATCAGTGTAGTACTCCATCCGTTCCATAAAATTCTTCCCCTTTCGTATTTTTCCAATTCCCTAAAACACTTCCATTTTCTATTAAAAAATCACTTTTACCCTACTTTTTCATACCTTACCTATCACATCATACTTTTTCACTAATAACTAAACTAGCACATCTTACTTTTACCCATCACATCATGGGCAAAATTGGAAAGTCAACTAAAATTACACTTTTATTATTTTGGTCCAAAGTCAAAATAGGAAGTGTTTAAAGGAACGGAGGGCGTATATGTTGATTTATGTTCAATCTTATAATCTCAACCAATTAAGCATGCTTAGCGGTTGGGCTCCTAATAAATCATCTTGGTCCGATTCAACGAAAATTATTAAAAAGATATACTAAAAATATTTTTTGGCGCACATATTGTGAGAGGAAACGTGATCGATGTAATGTTTATTTCGTATACCATAATAAATCTACTCCGTATAATGTAATGTGCCGAACACTTTATTGTATCGAAAATGTTATAATTGCATATATTTTTTATCAGTTCAATAAAATAATATAGTCGCACAGTTCAAATTTTGTAAAATTTGAATATCCTTTTTTAGCAGATAAATTTACAAATTTTAAAAATTAGTACGAAGTACCAAATTTCTTAATAAATTGACCTAAAAATAATTTTAACATATCATTGGAAAGATAATATCAAATGCTTTTTGAGACGAAAAGGGTAATTTTTATTTGATAGTCGTTGATCATTATGGTCTCATTTGACATCAGCGTTAGAGATTACTCGGATTAGCATTAACATTTTTAAAAAAGATTATCTATAGCTTTAGCCTTTTCAATGTTTGTTTACAATATTAGATTTTTATCACAAAATGCTAAAGTTAATCGAAAATATTAAGGAGCATTACCAAACAAAAACCTGAATAATATAATCAGATATATCCAAACAGTTGGGAAAAGGTTGTGATATGAGATGGGCATACAGCAAGCGACAAAAAGAGGTTACACCGTATTTATACATCGCCATAACTTTTGTACGGAAAGTTTTGAGCATAGCGCAGCATTTTTGTTTGAGTTTACAACATTTGTTTTTTATTATTTATTCAAGAATATACTAGATTTTTCTTGTATGCAAAAAAAAAAACAGAAATAGATAAGATTTCTTGGATATGTGACATTTAAAAGAAATATTTGTAGTATATAAAAAAAGAACTTATTATATAGAGAAAGAGTGCACTGTTTACTCTCGAATTCTTCAAAATTTGCATGGTTTATCTCTGAATATTAAAAAGTGCATCAAATACCCCTAAATTTCTCAGAGTTTGTATGGTTTACTCATAAACATTAAAAAGTGCACCAAATATTCCTGGACTCTTCAGAAATTGTACGATTTACCCTAGAACATTTAAATAAAGACGACGATAATTTTGGAGAAGAAGACTTTTGAAGAATTCACAAGGGCCAGATAAATCATACTCATAATTCCCGTGTGGGAGAAAACTGCTCTCTATCTAACATTTTAGAACCAATGGTGCAATGTTTTAAATTGTTCAAGGGTATTGATGCACTTTTTAGTATTAAGGGGTAGATTGTGCAATTTATGAAAAGTTCGAGAGTAAATGATGCACTTTTTAATACTTTTTAATGTTAAGGCCGGGGTAAACTATGTACTTCACAAAAAGTCCAGGCCGGGGGTAAACGTGCGCTATCCTCTTATTATATATACTCCATATGTCACTACCGAGCATAGAGCCGGTCTCGAGGATCCGATGTGATGGCCTTCGGCTAGACAAGAAGATGGACCTTGGTCCTAACAAATTAAATTATATAAACTACAATTAGTAATACAGACGTAATACGCATAACAAAAATATAATTATAATTAAATATCACAAAAACTAACTTATAAAAATTATGTTTTGAAATTTTTTATGAAAAATATTATACTTCCTCCATCCCAAAAACTCCTCCTTTCTTTTTTTTCTTGTTCCACAAACTTCTTCTCTTTTTTATTAAAAAATAACTTTTATCCCTACTAATTCCTAACATACCTATCACATCATATTTTTTACTAATAATCTACTCATCACATTTTACTTTTATCTATCACGTCAAGAGTATTTTTAGAAAGTCAATATAAAAATATCTCATCCTTATATTTTCTAAAAACCAAGACGTGGGGATATTTATGGGATGTAGGAAGTATATAATAAAGAGAAAAAAAATGTTTGATCACCAGAAAAATGGGCCTGACGTGTAGGGCATCTTGGTTGACCCATAGGGCGGCCCTGGCAGAGTATACTCCAATTATGGGCCCGAATACAATGCTAGTCCGTGCGCAAAAATTGGGCTTACCCTTGAACTTTTGGTTTACGAGCGGACCCGGCTTGACCCATAATAGTGGGGGCTAATAAACTTGAAGACCATTGTTGTTTTTTATGTTCAAGCTACCGGCCTGCCTTGGTGATCATAATAAAAATAATAATAATATAAATAATAAGAGTAAAATCCCAAAATAGTCCTATGTAATAAGGTAATAGCATTTCTACCTGTGCCATGCACGGTTTCGGACAAAAAAAATTCGATTCTATAATGTGGATCCTGATTTTTATTTGGCATATTATTTAAAGGTCAAATATAAATGATCTAGGTTTGATGTATTTCTACAAATCTATAATTTTTTCCCTGTATAAAATCAAAAATATATTAATACAAAAAGTATTAGTGATCCAATAATTCTTTTTCCTCACATTAATTTAAAATACCTAAATAACCGACCTTATAATTATATACTTCCTCTGTCCCTGATATTTGTCCACTTTTGATTTTTTACTCAAATTTGGTAAATTTTGACCTCAAATTAAATAAAAAAGATATTAGATATTGACACAAAATTAGTTTTATTTGATTTATTATATCATTCATTTTCAAAATATTTTTTGATGCAGTTAATATATAATATATATTTTATTTAATTCTAAGTCAAATGTTGGAAACAATTAATCGGAAAAGTCAAAACGGGATAAATAGTATATAAAAAATTATTATTCTTTCTTGCATTATTAAAAAACAAAATCTTAAAATAGTGATCCTAAATCTCTATGATTAAAATTTTTAATTTTAAAATATTAAGAATCAATTATTCTTCTCCCCCACATTGATTTTAAAAAAACAATAAAATGTAAGTGCTCCAATGATTTTGTCGGGATAGTATTCTGGTCAAGATATAAAATATTCTATCAAAATTTAAATAGTTACAAATTGGAAATTGTATTTTCTTTGATGTGGTTGTAACTCATAACTGAGTCTCGAACTTATTAGCTATTGCACCTTGGATTTTCTGTACAATTTTTCTTACTTTTTTGATTATCCTAAATCTTCATTGCCACAAATCTTCTCACGCTCCCCTCCACGCCTTGATCTTCTCTGTCACAATCTTATTTGCATAAATCTGTGTCGTCTCATAAAATATC